CCGAGATCGCGCCATTGCACTCCAGCCTGGGTAACATGAGTGAAAACCCTCCCACAAAAAAAAAAAAAAAAGAAAAAATCAGTGCCATGGATGCTACCTATACTTTAAAAACATAAAATCGGACATAAAGTAATCCATGGCCGGGTGTGGTGACTCACACCTGTAATCCCCACACTTTGGGAAGCTGAGGCGGGTGGATCACTTGAGGTCAGGAGTTCGAGACCAGCCTGGCCAACATGGCAAAGCCCCTTCTCTACTAAAAATACAAAAATTAATGGCCAGGCAGGGTGGCTCAGGCCTGTAATCCCAGCATTTTGGGAGGCGATGAGGGCGGATCAAGAGGTCAGGAGTTCCAGACCAGCCTGACCAACATGGTGAAACCCCATCTCTCCTAAAAATACAAAAATTAGCCGTATATGGCGGCGTGTGGGCAACCCCCCATATAGGTACTGAGGAAGGAGAGCTAAGCAGAATCCTGGCATGATTAAGGCCTGGAGAATATCTCAGTTTATAGTGTTACTACTCAGTTATTTCCTTTTATATATCGCTATACCTTAGCTTATAGTCGGAGGAATGCCTAGAGCAGACACAGTGCAGGGCATGATTTAAGGGAAAACAGTTGTACCAGGACAAGAACCCACGGCCCAGGCGGCAGCGTTCAGTATCGTAAAGATCCCCGCTGTATGGCAGGCTTGGGGCGAGAGCCACTCCTCCTGATGAAGGAGTTGTAGGACCTTGCTCCCGTTCTTGTGGAAGGCTGCCCTCAGACCGGCAATCCACCTTGGTGACTGTGAACTTTATCAGCTCTTGCTACTGTGCTGCTTGAAAAGCATCTTCCCATAGAACCCACTGGAAGCTGCCAGAAGGTGGCGGTAACCCTGACAGCTCTGTCGCTGTGTGACTTAAAGCATCCTCCCATAAATCTTCTTAGAAGTAGTTTTCCCATAGATAGAAGTATCGCACACTGCACGCTCCTCACTGCGCACGGCCCACCTTCAAGCCTCAGTGACCGAATGGGGGTGGACTCCCTACTGCACACGGCCCTTGCCTTCGTGGGAACGGTCCCCTTGCTGCACGCTGTCCACCTCCTGGCCTAGGTGACCTAATGGGGGTGGACCCCTTGTTTTATTGCTCACGACCCTATCACTATCCTTGAAGATGATTTCACTCACTGCCCTGCCCTCTAACCTATACACAATAAACACTCACGCTTCTGGACATACGGGGCCTTGCCTGACTCCGCTCATAGATGGCGTGGCCCCCTGAGCCCAGCTGCGTTTTCCTTGTACTTCTGTGTCCTGTCTCTTTATTTCTCAGATCCTGCGCCTCAGCACAGCATAAGGGACACCCCACGACCCTGTGGAGCCCTCAGCCCTACAGAGGTGTATTCTTGTAATCCCAGCTACTTAGGAGGCTGAGGCAGGAGAGTCACTTGAACCCGGGACGCAGAGTTTACAGTGAGCCGAGATCGCACCACTGCACTCCAGCCTGGGCAACAGAGCAGGACTCCATCTCAAAAATAAAATTAAAAAATTAGCAAGGTGTGGTGGCGAGCACCTTAGGCTGGAGAACTGTTTGAACCTGGTAATTAGAGGGTGCAGTGACACAATAGCGCACCACTGCACTCCAGCCGCGGTGACGCAGGGAGGGAGACCCTGTCTCAAAAAAAAAAAAAAATTAGCTGGGCATGGCAGTGTGCTTTTAATCGCAGCTATTCAAGAGGCTGAGGCAGAGGTTGCAGTGCACAGCGGCTGGCTGGGCTGGTCAGCTCACGCCTGTAATTCCAGAACTTTGGGAGACTGAGGCAGGAGGATCACCTGAGGTCAGGAGTTCAAGGCCAGCCTGACCACGACGGTTAAACCCCATCTCTACTAAAAATACAAAAATCAGTCAGGCATGGTAGTGGGCACCTGTAGTCCTAGCTACTTGGGAAGCTGAGGCACAAGAATCAATGGAACCTGGGAGGCAGAGGTTGCAGTGAGCCGAGATCCCACTACTGAACTCTAGCCTCAAGAAAAAAAAAAAGTAGGCCGGGCGCGGTGGCTCGTGCCTGTAATCCCAGCACTTTGGGAGGCCGAGGCGGGTGGATCACGAGGTCAAGAGATCGAGACCATCCTGGTCAACATGGTGAAACCCCGTCTCTACTAAAAATACAAAAAATTAGCTGGGCATGGTGGCGCGTGCCTGTAATCCCAGCTACTCAGGAGGCTGAGGCAGGAGAATTGCCTGAACCCAGGAGGCGGAGGTTGCGGTGAGCCGAGATCGCGCCATTGCACTCCAGCCTGGGTAACGAGAGCGAAACTCCATCTCAAAAAAAAAAAAAAAAAAAGTAATCCATTACTTACAACTTTCACCATAAAAGCTGTTACAACTGCCAAAGTTACACATCATTTCCTTAATCTTTTGTTTCAGTCAGACACTCTGTGCACTGCATGAACTTCTTACTGTGGATATGTTTAAAGACGTTTAAAGAACACAGACCCAAAGGCAAAGCCATAGTGTTAACTACAAAAAACAAAACGAATGTCTACCTGAGGCCAGAAGCAGTGGCTCACACCTGTAATCACAACACTGGGAGGCCGAGGCCGGAGGGTCGCTTGAGCCCAGGACTTAGAGACCAGCCTGTGCAACACAGCAAGACCCCATTCCTACAGATAATTTTTAAATTAGCCAGGCTGTGGGGTGAGCACTTCCTTACAATGCTCCATACTCAGGAGGCCGAGGTGGGAGGATCCCTTGAGCCCAGGAGGTGGAGACGGCAGCGAGCCGTGCATGCGTCATTGCGCTCCAGCCTGAGCCACGAAGGGAGACCTGCCTCACAAAGAAAAAAAATGGCCAGGCGTGGTGGCTCGTGCCTGTAATCCCGGTACTCTGGAAGGCCGAAGCAGGCGGATCACGAGGTCAGGAGTTCCAGGCCAGCCTGGCCAGTATGCTGAAACCCTGCCTCTACTAAAAATACAAAAACTAGCTGGGTGTGGTGGTGCGCACCTGTAGTCCCAGCTGCTTTGGAGGCTGAGGCAAGAGAATCACTTGAATCCAGGAGGCTGAGGTTGGCGTGAGCCGACCTGACGCCACTGCAGTCCAGCCTGGGCGACAGCAAGACTCCATCTCAAAAAATTAAATAAACAAAAAAACCTGTCTACCTGAATGCACCCACACCCTGTACCTTCCAGAAAACGAGGGGGGCTGGGTAGAGGATCCTCACAAGTTGCCTCAGCTCTGTCCCCGTGCTGTACACGACGGCGGGCTCTTCTGAGCTCTCAGCACCGAGCATCAGCACCCCTAGCTCATCTTCACGCCCTGTTTGGCAGGTGCTGTGAGCACTCCCATCCCAGGGCCGGGGACCGCGGCGCACCGCCAGCGAACCTTAGCGGCGGGCCGGGCCTGACGGCAGGAGCCCGCGTGCAGCAGGCCAAGGACACCCCGCGGGACCCGCCGCTGCCCGGGCGGCCGCACCTGCATGCCGTGGTAGCCCTTGCCCGAGTAGGCCACGAGCAGCACGACCTTGCGCTTGGGCAGCTTCCCGCGCCGCTCCTCGTCCCCGCCGCTCTTGAGCTTCTTGGCCGGATGCTCCCCGTCCTCCCAGACGCGGACGCCCCCGGCCCGGCCGCTGCGGGACCTCCGGTCCTGGGGGCGCGCAGACCCGGCGGGGGAGGGCAGCTCCGCGTTCCCGGCCATGCGCGGCGAGCTGCGGGGAGGGGCAGCGTGGGTGGGGCCGCCGGGCACCGCGCGGGGCGGGCTGGGCTGGGTGGCGGGGTCGCCCGGCGTCGCGGTCATTACCAGCGTGGACGCGGTCCCAGGCGCAGGGTCCACGGTCTGCAGGCTCCCAACAGCGCGCGCAGCGGGAGGCCCATGCGCAGGCCACGAGGGCGCAGGCCACAAGGGCGCCGACCACGGCCCGACCACTGACCACTGACCCCTGACCCCTGACCCCCGGCCCCGGCCCCGGCCGCACCTCTGCCGACCGCTGACCTCGGGGACCTTGACGCCGGAGCCCCGTTCCCGCTGACCCCCGACCTCCCGGACCCCGCGCCCGAGCCCCGCCCCTGCTGTCCTGGACGGCCCGGCACCCCGTCGGATCCGCTCCGAGGTCACCTGACGCCCAGGTTACCCTCTGACCTCCCCAGGCCCTTCACCTCCCGCCCTGCCTGGCGGGCTTTCCCCGGGAGTCGAGGAAGCCCGGGCCACCCGCATCCGAACCACAGAGGCGCGTGCCGGGCCGGACCCCACTCACGACGCGGCGGACCGAGCCGGGGCCGGACCACGTGGGCGAAGGCGGAAGTGGAGCGAGCGGCGGGACGGCGGCCGAGCGCGGACAATTCTCATGGAAAAGAGGCGGGATGGGGGCGGGGACTGGGGCGCTGAGGCGGGGACTGGGGCGCTGGGGC